AAGTATTGGAATTATAAAATAATAAAAAATGTAAATAAAATATTAAAAATTAAAAATAATAATAAAAATATTAAAAATAAAAATAAAGTTTTAAAATGTAAAGATTTATTAAAAATAAAAAAAAAATTATATTAAAAATATAATGCAATTTTTAAAATATAAAGAAATATTAAAAATTTAATAAAAAAGAAAATAATATAAAAAATGTTAAAATTAAAATAAAATTAAAAAATATTAAAATTTTTAGAAAATTCTTAAAGCAATAAAAAAATTAAAATTAAAAAAAAGTACTAAGGATACTTAAAATAAGATAATCACAACAAGAACAAAAACTAAAAAAATCGAAATAAAAAAATAAATAAGAAATAACATTTATTATTTAAAAATAAGATTTTATAATAAAAATAAAAATTTATAATAAAAATAAAAATTTATAATAAAAAATAAAACTTAAATCAAAATAAAAATAGAAATCAATATTAAAATAATAAATGAATGAAATTAATAAAGATTTTAATGAAAGAAAATGACATTCATGAAAAAAAAATAAAGTAAATCTAAGTAAGAGAAAATATTTTTTTTATGCTTGAATGGCACAGTTAGTAATTTTTTTTTTAAAAACCATTTCCTCTCGAAACATGATTAGCATACAGTTTACTGATGCAAATTAGTAGTTAAGAATACGTTCAAAAATAAAACACTTTAAGTTATAATTTATTATGATACCTCCAACATTTTATTTTGCAAAAACAATAGATGATTACAAAACGCAACTTTGCATGCAATACTGACGTAGCTACATACATAAATATGTAGCTATTATAGTCATTTGTACAAATAAATACCGCATATAGGCATAATGAAAAAAGTCTGTATGTGTAGAAGAGTATCTGTGTGTGGTTGCATGCGAAAAATGGTGCGCTGTTGCTATTGTTGTTTGTGCTTTGTCCCGTTGTCGTCATTACTTATTGTGTTGTGCTTCTTTTATTATATTTTCTTTTTCTCTATTTGTTGTCGTTTGTAAACATCGACAAAGTGCGCCACTACCTTATCAACATTCTCTTTATTCAACCGTCCGCAAATAAGTTTAATCTTTATTTCTCTTATTGCTACTATTCGCACTCTCTCACCAGTTAAGTTGAGATATATGTAAATATGTCCCTATTCTGTGTATACATATTGCCGCATTACTTACTCGCGTTTAATTTAAATCTTAAATTGGTGTCATCTTTATCTAACGCGTTCTCTGTTCTGCTCTACTCAACTCACTCTCTTTTCCGCTTCCGCGCTGGTAGTTGCTTCTCTCTCTTTTTCTGACGGTCAGGGTGGTATTGCAGCACATTATTTATGATTATTCACTACCTTCAATTCTTTTTCTTGTGTCTCTTTTGTATACGGTTTCTTTATTCGTTATTGCTTGTTGCCATTTGAGATTGTTTTTTTCTGTTTTTTTTTGTTTTTCTATTAGCTTATTCGTTTGCTTTTTCGTTCATTCATTAATTTTATTTCTCGTTTTGCATTTTGACGGCTCTTTTGTGTTTATTCACAGGTTTATTTTTAAAACGTGCTGTTACCACCGCTGTCGCATGTTTTTATTATTATTATTATAATTGTTATTGTTGTTGTTGCTGCTGATGCCGTTGTTGTTGTTGTGGTTTCTGCCGTTGTAAATCTCATGCCTCTACGCGAGATCTCTAGTGCACGGAATAGCAAATGCAAGATATTTTCACTACATTTTATTGTACGTATATACATATGAGTATATGTATGTATGTACATACATATGTACATAAATATGACCCCACTTCTCCATATCAAGTATATGCGCATATATATACGTACAGATATATATAGCCCCATATATTTCTATATATTTGTATATGTATATGCATGTGTGCATGTGATGCATGCTTTGGCCGTAATTTGGTTGAAGTTCTCAGTCAGCTTTAGTGGCCGCTTTATGTTTCTTCCACACCACTTACAAATGGTTCTAATTAGCTTGATAGATGTGTTTGTACAATAATAATCACCTAATATCATATTCGTATATCAATAGACATATAAACATGCCTACACATTTAATACATACAAACATAATGTTTACATATTTTACTTTATTGTGAATTAAGCCACTAAACAGGAAAGATCAAAACAAAAAGACTAAAATGGTTTTCACTGCTTTAGCTTTAGTAGCATGGGTTTTTCCATGACGCATTGTCAACCTCCCAGGTCTTTGTAATTGTGGAAATTTCAAAGTAGCAGAAGAGAATATTTTGCTACCGCTTTATGTTTACGTTTGAACAATAATTTAAACAACCATTGCAATGCAGGGGTGTAGTAGTGAACCGTATATGTAGAAAACAACGATATTATTTGTTAATAAACTACTTTGGGAATTCTGGGGCTTTAGTGCTTCAAACGGAATGGAATTTTAATGGCATGCCATAAAATTTAGCATTGATTCTCTGAACTTAGTTAAACAAATAATAATTAAAAAAAAAATTAAAAAAGAATAATTAAAAAATAATAATTAAAAAAATTTAAAAAAAAAATTAGAAACATCAGAAAATAAGATAACAAAATGTTAAAATTAAAATAAAATTAAAAAATTAAAAAAAAATTAAAAAAAAAAAAAAAAAAAATTTAAAAATACAAAAAGAAAATTCAAAAAATTTAAAAAAAAAAGTAATAATATAAATTAAAAAATTACAAAAAAATTAAAAAATTAAAAAATTACAAAAAAAATACAAAATTAAAAAATTACAAAAAAAAATTAAAAAAATTTAAAAAAAAGTAATAAAATATAGTGATGATTAAAAAAAATAATTAACAGTAATGATTAAAAAATAATTAAAAGTATTTAAAAAATAATAATAAAAATATTTTAAAAAAATAAGTTAAGAAGTAATAAAAAAAAAATGAAAAAATAAATAGAAAATAACTAGGAAATAATAATAAAAATAATAATAATAAAAATAATAATAATAAAAATAATAATAATAAAAATAATAATAATAATAAAAATAATAATAATAAAAAAAAAACAATTAAAAAATTAAAAAGAATTGAAAGTATTTAAAAATGAAATAAAGAAATAAAAATAAAAAACAACTGAACGAAAATTTAAATAACTAAAAACTTAAAAAAGCATCTACAAAATATGTACAATATTATGTAAAAAAATAAATTAACTAAAAAAACTAAAAACAAGAAATATGGAAAATAAAAAGAAAAATATAGAATATAAAAAATATGGTAAAATAAAAAAGAAAACATATAACATGAAAATTATTATAAAATATGAAAAACATATATCAAAAATACGAAATAGAATACAAATATATAAATAGTGAAATATATATATAATTTTTAATTTCACTTTTTTTTTCTTTTCTTTTATATAAGGTTTATTTTATGTTATTTTATTCTATTTTGGTGGCCGCGGTAACCGTGTGGTTAGAATTGCGTACAGACATTCGGAAGGCTCGGGTTCAAATCTTGATGTCGGTACTAACATTCAAAAAGTTCTAGAAAATTAATTTAAATACAAAATCAGTCGAATTTTTTCTATGTTTTAATAATAATAGGCGCTTTTGTAACCTCAGAAGCGATTTTCGGCCGAGCTCCTCCTCCAATTTGTTGTTTTTCATCTGATGTTTTACCAAGAAATAGAGGCACCTACAGTTTATACTAAGCCGCCTCCAAACGGCTGATGGTTTTTATGAGAAGCCTTTATTTCAAGTCAGAAATACAGTCGGAGGGGCGACCGCAGTTAGAAAAACTTTTTGGATGTTAGTACCGGCACCGAGCAAAATAGAATAAAACATAAAATAAAATTTATAAGAAAGGAAAAAAAATGTGAAAAAAAATTAAGCAACGAAAAATAGAAACATAATTTATTAATAAAAAAGAGAAAAGAAAACAATTGGTTTGTTATTGTAAATTTAAAAAAATTGTTGACGATAAGGGGATGAGCGCACGTGCAGTTCGACCACTTTGTTTTTAAATTTTTATACTAATTTTCTTGTCTTTGTAATAGGCAGCAGCATGTACAATATATATAGATGTTTATTAAATGAAAAATATGTACGAGTTTATAAGTACATACATATGTATGTATGTATGTGGTATGTAGACTTGTTTTTCTTTTGTAGCAAGGTTTTATTAATTATGCCGTCATTTGACGATGGTAAGGTAATTTGAAAATTTCTCCGCTGTTGTAGTATTTTTCTTGTTTTAAATAACGGTATTTTTTTTTATCTGTCAGTTGACGCAGCTCGTATACTGGTCGCTCTTGCTTCCATTGTCGTTTCCTTAACTCACAACGATATTTTGTTAGAAAAGTGGAATCGCTTTTCTTTGAGCATGCTCCAAGAGAGTGACAGAGAGCGACTTCGCTATGCTATGTATGTATGTGCAAAAACAATACAAAAATAATACAAAATATCTACATACATTCAGACTGACTTGCGCTTATTTACAAATTGTTTTACATGTTGCTGTGTTTATAATATTTTTCCTTTCTTCCGATCAGCATATTTGCAAGCTTCGAGTTTTCTTTTTATCTAAAATACACATATATATATATGTACATATATTGCACTTTTCACGTTTATACACCTGTTTATAAACAAGTGTGTACGTTTGTATAAGCAAATATATATATATATATATAGTATTTTTGACAGTTTGTTTCATATATTTGCAAAGGAAATTTTCGCATTTTTGCTAGTTACGGCGTTGAGGTATGCCGTAAGCATCCCACAATATGTTGACAAGTGTTGAATACACATTTCCATGCATACTCCATATCTATACGGTTTTTTTTTGTATACCTTGGCCAAATGTTGGGTGAGCCTCTCGAGCATTTTTTACTCATGAAGGTTGGAAAATTCTTCTTAAATCATGGGAAAGGCTTTTCCGTGTGACTTTTATGTATCTCTTCTTAAGTATATTCGTCTTTATTAATTTTTGCGTACAAATTTTTTTTTTCTTTTTAGCAAATCAAGCACTTTGGAATGGAACCTGGGAACGAGGTCTCACATACGAGTGCCGGTCATTGCTCTTTAAAGCCTTGCACAACTTAATGGAACGGTAAACAGTATAAATTGAGAATTTTTCTTCTCAGAGAAACTCATGTAATTTTATTTTCTTTTAGTTTCGTGTTGACCAAAGATATTGTGCGTTTTGGAAAATGGTTCGTTCAGCCATGTACTTCCAGCGATCGACTCTTTGGGCGAAGGTAAGCTATAAAGCAATCGCGAACGTAGAATATTTTCTTCGGACAACCAAGCTACACGAAACTTACTGTTACCGTTACTGTTACTGTAGTAATAAAACAATAAGTCGTTTTGGTAGTCCTAAATTAAAAGAGAAACAATTTCTCTGTGGTCCCGTTTTGAGCTACAACGCCGGATCATCGTTCAATTTGTTACATATTAAAAGGAAAAACTATGTTTTTTTGCTAATATTTTACATTATTTTTTAATTTTCCCCATATTTCTATATATTTTTTGAATTTATCCATTAGTGTCCACAATAACATTAACTCTTCGCACTCCTTTTTTTTCAGTTCCCAACATCTTTCATTCTCTTTTACGTTCTTCGTGCACGGCGATACCGTATGTGCATCGATTGATTTGAGGGAACATCCTGCGGTACGTCCCTTGTCCAAAGAGCATTTAAAAGAAGCAGCTGCCGCTTTTGCGGCTGCAAACAACTCACAAACATTGTCGCAACCTCATGAAAATGGCAATTGTACAAATATCATGCCAGAAGATGTGGCGAGTCCACATAATCCCAGCAATGGTGGTAGCAATAATGGTGCGGAAGCTGCCACGAACTCAAATTCACCCAACACCGCCACTTTACCCAAGCCACGACGGGTAATATTAGCACCTTTCGGAATGGCAGCAACACTTACGGGTAATAGCTTTAAAGCTACAGATCCCATGGCCGAAAAGATCCTAGAAGATTGGGCATCATTCTTCCCATTGTGCAATAAGGAGAACTCCGATGTGCCACCGGTGGTTGAAGTTGTGTCAGGTATGGGGTATAACAGCATATTTTAATGAGGTTAATATAAATTTTAGAATTTGTAAAATAATATTTCCCTTTACCACAGGCGGACATAAAATGTATCATCCTTCAATTTATGTACTAGTCACTGATTTGGATGATATGGAGGAAATGGAAGCGGCTGCCTCGCAAAAAGGTGCACTGGGTACAACTTCTTCTGCGGAGGCTGCAGCATTGGCAGCCATTTCATCTGCGAATCCTAATGAAAGTGCAGTTGGCAGTAGAAAGCAGTCAAATGCAACACCGCACCACCCTGCTGGCGTGCAGCAGCAACAACAACAAATGCACACTGTAACTACTGTAACGACAGTTGCCACGTCCAGCAGCAGCCAAGTAGTCGGCAGCAGCAGCGGGGGTAATGGGGGTACCAGCAGTAGTATCCTAAATAGCAATAGCAGTATTGCAATGGTTGAGCAACGTTTGCATGATCTGACGGCAAGGGCACAACCTCACTACGATACAAATTCGAGTAGTTTTACGGGCAACACTACTAATACTCATGCCTCACCACAGGCAGCAACAGAAATGCCCGAGCGTGTGTGGCAGGATTGCATAACAAATGCACTGCATGTGACATATGCGGCTAGCGTTGCTACTTCAACAGTAATAGGCAGCTGTGGCACCACAAACGGGCAAATAGCTACATCCACAACGCTCTCCACCACCAGCGGCGTAGCACAACAGACGATGTTAGGAACAACTGCTACCGGTACTGGTACAGTAGGTGGTAGTGGTGGTAGCGGTGAGGATTGTAATGTCGGTAGTGTTACTAACATAAAAACCGAAAACAATAGTGGAGGCGGTAGTGAGGATACGAGAAATATCAACACGAATGCGAATGACGCAAACAGTTTAGAGAACAAATTGCGTATGCAACAGCAGCAATTTTGGGGATTTGTCGATCCAATGGAGAAGGCACCTTGCTCATGTGCAAAGTAAGTTATCCAAACAATTTAATACATACATATTTACTTTTAATATCAATTAAGGGAAAATTTGCTTGAATGATTTCGAAATAATTCTGTATTGAAATATATATACGTATATTGTACGGTAAAGTAGAATTTTATTTGAAACACAGAAGTGAGTGTCAGTGCCTGTAGTATGAAGCACTTGCAGTTGAGCATATGAAACTGCCAACTGTGTAAAAAATCTATTTAAAATAATCATATATTTGGAAATCTTGAAGTTTTGCTTATTGAATTTATAGTGTTCAGAATTTATAACGTAATTCATTGGTTTAATATATAAGGCTATACATCACTGTTAAAATTTCTAACTAGCTTTGTTTTTTTTTTTATTTTTTTCGTATTTACCGTTACACTGTTTGCGAATCTCAGCTTTTTATATACTCTATACGTGAACTGCATGTATCCTTTAGTATTTTATTTACAACACACTATGTCGTTCCTCAACAATTATTTATTTGCTTTTAATTTAATATGATAACCACAAAGGCCAAATTGTTTAGTAAAAAAAAGAGTTAATACAAAACAAGCATAGACGAAAATGTTTAAGCATAAAGAAAAACATTCTGAGTATATGTATGTATGTATTTAGTGTAAAAAAAAATTTCAGACTTTATACGTCGTGGTCATCGACAAAGTCGATATTCACACATTCTACCACTACTACTACTACTACTACTACTTCTTTTAGCAGCAAAAAGACTGCAGCTTCTACTTCTTCTTTGACAATGACATCCCCTATATGTAGTATTTCCGGGCCGGCTACGTCCGTGCGATTAAGCAACAGCATGATGATGGCATTGGGTGGCAAAATGCATGCCGGCTCGGCGGGATGCAGTAGCAGCAGCAGCAGCAGCAGCGGCACCAATACCAACACAAACACCAGCAATAGCCACCACAATCAGCAGCGACTACAGCAGCACCAACAACAATATCGTACACCATTAACAATGTTGTCGCCACCATCAACGGCGTCATTGCCGATGGGACAGTCGTCGACCCCCCCGTCCCCATGGTTGGGCAGCAACAGTAATGCCAAAGGTAGTATTAGCAACTTGCCTCGTACGACAATGCGTATGCCATTCCATCGGCGTCAACAATTTGACTTTTACATCGATAACAACACAATTGGCGGCGGCGGCGGCGGCGATGGCGGCGGCCTCGTCAGCAATTATTTGTGTACAAGTCTAAGCAATTCGTTGTGGAGGGGTCAGTGTGGCAGTGGTGGTGGTGGCAGTGGCAGTGGTGGCGTTTGCTTTGACGTCGTTGACGGTGCAGTGGATACAGTAGACGCTGCCGCAGCTGCTGCTTCCAATGGCATCAGTGCTTTAGTGCATTATCAAACTTCAGACACCATACCAAAGCAAAGGTTTGTGTTGTCTCTTCTCTCCTACTTTCTCTCTCTCTCTCTCTCTTTCCCTCTCTTTAAACACATATCACACATTCATATATAATTATAAATATACTTTCTCTTCTCCACATCACGCTCTCTTAAACGCTCGTGCGCAACATGTATACACTCGCTCTTTATCCTGAGTTCCACATACCATTATTAACCTTTTATTACATATGTATATTTGGTTGGTTGGAAACAAAATGCTAACTTACCCCCTTTCCTCCCACATAATTTTGTCTGGTATGGTTTCACATGTCCGAAACTCATTAGAATATGAAAACACACTCGCACACAATTAAATAGCTCGTCTTCTATTGGCATTTAATGATGGCATTTAATGAGGTGACGTTTCTGTATCTTCATTTTCCCTTAAAAAAAAAAAAATAAAATAAATTAACAAAACTAATTCATCGTTTTTTTTTTAAAGTGGTGTTTATGGCTTAAAAAGCAGAACTTAATAAATTAGTAACCGTTTCATGTCACATTCATAGATCTTACACGATAATTTTATTAATTACTGCATACATACACGTACACATTGTAAATGGTGTTGCGCTAGTGAATGAGTTGAAAGCTTTTAAAACAGGCAAGTAAATTATTCAATTTTGTACACTATACTTTCCTTAAAATATTGTATATTATATGCCTCAATTATAGAAATGGAATATCGGAATTATTTTTTATTGGAGAAATTAGCATTTAATAAAGTCTGCGACAACACCGTGAAATCCTCAACTTCAAGTAATGCGATAAATAACATATTTGTCCCAATTAATAAGCATTGTTTATTTACATTAAGAATTATTATTAACATTAATAATTGCTCTTTTATTTATTTACTATTTTTTTTATTTATTAAGGACGAACCAATCGTGATCGAAATTAAGAAAAAATAATTAAAATTTGTCTATTAAGTCTTTGAACTTGAATGTGTGAGTGAAAAATAAGACCAATTCTATTAAAAATAAATTAAAACCTACCGAAAATTTAAGTTAAATTTTCTAATGTCAACACCATCGAGTGTATTTCTGACATGGAAACCAAAGCTCCTCATAAAAACCCAAACTGTAGGCATTTGGAAAAAAATCAAGGCGCACATCTTGATTGGAGGAGGAGCTCGGCCGAAAATAGCTTCAGCGGTTGCAATGGGCCTGTCGTTATTGAATTTATTGTACATATCTTTTACAATATGTATATATATATACATACAATATATATATATATATATATATATCAAATTTAATTTATTTTTTTAAAAGCAAATTAATAAATATAATTCTTAACAATATCATATTAATTATTTTTTTTTTTAACAAGAAATACGAACTTTTTGACAATAATTTTTCGTACAAGATTTGTATACAGACAAACTGTCACTATTTGGCAAAAAAAAAATAAATAAATTTTTTGTTAAATCAAAATACAATAAAACGTATACTAATAACTACTGAGTACTTTTGATTAATATATTTTACCGTTCTAATAATTTCTCTTATATAAAATATAATTAAAAAAATTGTATATTGAAAAGTAAATACAAATTTTGAAAAACGTTTAAAAATTGCTTTATTTTAAAAATAATTTTTATTTACACTTGTTTTTAATGTCGAAATATTATATTAAAAAAAAATGATAAAAAAATAAGAAAAAGAGAGAAAAATTTGAATTTAAGAAAAAAATTTATATTTTAAATAAAAAGTGAATAATAAGATTTCATATTTATATATTTCGCTTTTTGGTCGTTTAATTGGTTTAATAATAATACATACGGTATGAGTGTAGAATATAATTAGGAACTTTATAACGAAAACTAAAAGAATTTATCGAATGTTTTCAGGTCAACTGTCGAGTAATTTCTTAGTAAGAGACCACAAACTCATGCCTCCTGCGAGCTAAAGTTGCCAGCAATTCTGTGTAGCTTCTTAATTTTTTTAAAGCACTCGGACACACAATTTTTGCAAATCAATAGAAAAAGTACTAAAGAACTGAATTTGAATTCCAGCTTAACGATGTGGTCCTCAATCGTATGTTTGGTCAATGGAATTATTCGAATGATTTCAACTGCTTTAATAAATATACATATATATATATATATATGCACATATTTGAAGCGAAATTTAACATAACAATATTTAATTAATATTTAAAGCCAGCCCTATGGGTTGAGGCTATTTTAGAAGAGATTCGTATTTATTTTAGGATAAAAAGGCTTTAAATAAAGTCTTATCAGATTGGGCGATGGTTTTAGTGGTCCTTTCCATGACGCACTAGCGTAGTACATTACGTAATAAAATGGAATGCATTTTGAAATAACAATGCATGTATTTAATCAATCATTATATTCTTAAATATTTTTTATTTAAAATTTTCTCTTAACATTCGTTATTATTTAGGTTATGGTTCATTGTCAGTGGTGTGTAGTCTGTATCTGGCTAAGCATTTTATCATTAAATATATAATATATTGAAGGTAATGCAGTCAGCTGTAGAATATTACTTTTATAAAATACGTTCAGTTTGTATCATAAAAAAAGATTTCAATTCATTACGCACATATATATTTGATGCATATAATAAAATGGTTGAAAATAATAACAATAGCTATGCATACATATGTATATATAGTGTCTCGTTAAATACGGCTGTTGCATATTATATTATTTATTATTGGATAGTGATCACATTTGCATATATAAACCTCCTATAAAATATACAATATGTATCGTACACACATATATATGTATGCATGTTTGTATACCTTTTTAATATCAAGTTGTGAAAGGTTTTTGAATGCATAATAGCATACCAACATATTTACATATGTACATAAATAGCAAACATCATGATGCTAAAGAACTAAAATGCACAATAAGAATATGAAATTCTAAAAGCTTTTACTATTAAATTTATATTTTTACAGACCTTTGAATCCAGCATCGATGACACCGCACGATGCACCACACGGTGGCGCCTCAACTTATTCGCGCAATTCCGTTGGCGATTTGATGCCAGTGCCATCGGTTGGTTCCCCTGGCACACCAGCGCCATCGCCACATCCCAATTCTACATTATCACAGCCTACGTCAGTACCACCGGCCGATCAAGTGAGTGCTTGAGGTTTATACTGGTTCTTATTTTATACATTACTTTCCATTATATGATTACATACTTATATGTATTTACAAAATATTTACATAAATTTGTTTTATTAAATTTCTCACCTCGCTCTTTCGTTTGTTTGTTGCAGTTGTTGGCTATGAGTCCACGTGCACCACCATCCGTACCGAATTTACAACAACCACCAACGCCGATTGATCATTTATTGGACAAGAATACACCGGCGCCAACGCCCACCGATCAACATGATAGCAAGAGCATCACAACGTCGCCGTATGTGCGGCCAACGCCAAGCGTAGAGCCGCCACCATCAGTTGAAGGTGGTAACGGCAGCGGTGGCGGTGGTGGATTGTGTGGTGTGGGACCAAATGGGCCGGGTAGCGTGCCGCAACCATCAAGCGTAGGACGCTGTACACCCACTATGGGCAGCCAGCAGCAGCAATCACAACAATCTACACATACCGGTACGCAGTCACAAGCACAAATGCTAGGCAACCCACCAGGCACAGCTGCAGCGCCACAATGTGGTACCATATCTATTAAGAAATTTGAAATTCAACAGCCCTTAAGTGCTGATCAAATTACAACTGAGCCCGGTTGTGTGGCGACATCTATGACCGGTTCTTGTAGCCGGAATAGCTTACCGGCCGTTTCTGTGGCTTCAAGCATATCAACCGCTGAAGCTCTCAATGATTACTGGAAGTCGTTTAAAATGCCCGAAATCAAAGTGAAGGATATTGACAGTTTCGCCAACGACGACTGCACAAAATTTGATGTACTGTATGATTTTACGTTTCAAAACGCTTGGTGAGTATTATTTTTGTATGATTGAGATTTAATTTTATCTCGAGAGTTAACGGGGAAATCGCAGTTAAGTTGATGCTTATTTCTATCTTTAGACTCTAAAATTAAAACAAATTAATGTTTGTATGCATATTGTATGCGTATGCAGTATTAATTACCGTTAGAAATAACACTGCAACAAAACAAACACATATGTACTTCTGTATAATTACAAACCTTAACATATGATAACTTGTCTTGTATTTTAAATTTTAATCGCAACCTTTCTCTATCAGGGCGAATCATCCGATGAAGCGTTTCAAATTAAATGAAGTGAGCAAACCGTGTCGTAGTATGCGCACCAAGAATCTATATGACGGTCACACACACTCCAAGCCGCTAATGCCGTCACCGGGCTCCGTGTACGGCTCCCAGCTGCTATCCATAGATGCTTCTTTAAACTCGCTCTCTGGCTCAGCTATGAATGCAGCTTCCGTTGGAAATGCTAGTGGCGGTTTAGTGGGCATTGCAGCACACAGCGGCAATATGCCAAATGCCAATGACGATAGTATTGATGGAAATAGTAACGCCGGTGCTTATTTCCAGAGCTTGGACATAAACACGTCGGATGCGCTACAGGGCACGGCTTCACCTTGCAAAGAGGGCAAAAGCAGTGCCAGTGGTAATCTCTATACTGCTGAGGGCTTGAATCCTACTATGAACGATCTCGAACAGTTGTTTGAGACCTCCAACGACGACTGCGGCAGCGTGCAAATACATACACCGCCCGATTCGAACAACCCATCCAATGGCTCAACTACCACTACCACAATAGATGATCTGAAACGCAGTACCGCAGTCGCTGCTGCGGTTAATGCCAGTGCGGTTGCTATTGCTGCCTTACAGAATTGCGCAAATACCACTAGCACTAACAATGCAATGGGAGTTAACAATTGCAGCAATAATGGTGGTGGTACGGGCGGCCCGAGCATGATACAGGCGGAGGACCTGACAAAAATGTTTCCCACACCGCCCTCCCACGAGCAACATCATCCCAATTCTAGTCCGTGCCAAATGGATATCCAAATGACGGATCTCAGTGTGATTACTGCCTCCACTACAATGTCGGCCACCATGGAGTCCGGTATGGGTGGTATCATGAAAATTAAACAAGAATATTTTGCTGAATTGGGTAGTCCCATAGAGGAGCCAATCGAAGATTGGTCTTACGTATACCGGCCGCCGAAGCGTGCAAAATTTGTTGGCTCTTCCAAATATGCACCACTAACAAATCTTCCTAGTCAAACGCTGCCGCCCCTGGCGTTGCCACCGAATTGCACTTATAAGCCGTCTTGGACGACACAGAAATCGCGCGCAGCGGTTGCAGCTCAAGCAGCAGCAGCACAACAACAGCAACAGCAGCAATTACAGCAACAACAGCAGCAACTGCAGCAACAACATCAGCAGTTGCACGAATTGCTTTCGGCCGCTCCACGTACGCCCCTGCAACAACCGCGCACTCCCCTGGGACCCGTACCATCGCCAATGCACACGAATACCGTTTCAACGCCGCTGAGTAGTGGTGGCGCCATCGGCGGAAATAATCTGCTATTGAACCAATTGAATTGTCCGCAGGCAGCACTCACAAATACCCCTGGCAGCGCCAGTATGCAGCAAATGATGCAACGTGCTGGCATGTCGCCGATATCACCGGCGCCTGCCCCCGTGGTGCCTTTCCCCATGATGCAGCAGCAACGTCATCCGCCACCACCATATGAAATGGCAGTGGCCAGTCCGGCCACTTCGACTTCTTCGTATTTGAATAAACAGTATCATTCGCAGGAGCATCCGCCTACACCACAAAGCGTCGGCATGCCTTCAACACATTTACCGGGACCGCTAAGCGCTGCTGGTAATCTTGCGTCAACTAACGTCGCAACAGGTACTTCGGCAGCTCGTGAGCTTCCGGAAGTCAGCTCCTTGATAGTCAATATTTTGTTGTACGATACGGCGCTGAATGTATTCCGTGATCACAACTTCGATAGCAGCACGGTTTGCGTGTGTAATGCAGATTCGCAGAAAGTGGGTAATATACGCGGTGCAGACTCGGGTGTATATGTGCCTCTGCCCGGTGGAAGTTTTAATCCGCTACCACCTACAACAAATACAAGTGGTAGCCCTGGTGTTAGTGGTGTGAACGGCAGTGGTGGCGGCGGTGGAGCTGGAACAAACATCCGCTTGCTCAGTGCCTTTGGAGGGGGAAGTGCTCTAGATTCACCCGCATCATTGCCAGGAAATTCTGGAAACACGGGGTCTGGCTCATCCTCATCTTCGAATACACCCGCCAGTAATCAACACATCACCGGCTATGTAGACGACGATCCAGTGGATTGTACATGCGGCTTCAGTGCTGTAGTCAATAGGCGACTTGCATTTAGAGCCGGCCTCTTTTACGAGGACGAAATGGAAATTACGGGAGTTGCTGAAGATCCTGCCCGCTACAAGAAACAGTCGTTGGCTTCCCTAATTGCAAATTTGGCAAGAGCTCTCACGCCAACCACGTCAAAATTGAGCACAGCGCTCTTACCCATCAAGGGTGGTAATACCTTCGTGCCTGCGAAAGCAGATAAAGTAAATCATGTGCCGCCAGACGCTCAAGCGCTGCAGAATGCGCATGTAATTTTCGACTTGTTACTTGAACAATGCTCCATCATACAAACATCTAGCAGTTCCATTCAACGTGCGTTACAGCGGCACAGGCATCGTTTGGCTAGGCAAAGTCGACAACCACAGTCCGTGGCGGCCATCTCCAATGTATTAGAGTTCGTTGACGCGAATGATGTTATGTGTTTAGCGTTGGAGCAGGCGAGACTGGCTTTCGAAAGCAATCGCATGGATGTGAATGAATTTTCGAGTCAGCATCAACTCTCGCCGCTGCATGCGAGCGGTCCTGTTGGGTTGAAACGCAATAAACAACTTTATGCTAGCAGATTAACGGTGCACAAATGGCCGTACATTCCAGTTGGTTACTCACGCAGCAATAAAGAGATCGTGCGCACCATGAATTTCGTCCAGCCCATGCTGCAAAATGCATTCCATTCGAAATCGCGTAGTGCTGCGGGCAGCAAAGATGCAACATACACTGTGAGTGGACCGCTGACATGGCGACAATTCCACCGTTTGGCGGGACGAGCTTCGGGTCAATGCGAACCACAGCCTATTCCTTCGGTTATTGTAGGACATGACAAGGACATGGTTTCTGTAGCGCCGCTTGCAATACATTACTGGGACAAGCTCTTATTGGAGCCCTACGCGTATGCGCGTGATATTGTTTATTTAGTTGTCTGTCCAGAAAGTGACTTTGCGGTTCAGAATACGAGAACATACTTTAGGGAATTGAGTTCCACATACGAAATGTGTAAATTGGGCCATCACACGCCTATACGCGGTTGGGACGGTCTACTGACGGTGGGTCCTCGTGCACCAAATGATAGTACACCATGCAACACGCCTTTGGACGATTGGCTGCGCACCTTAGACGACACTGCATTGGCAGAGAAGATTCGATTGTATGCAAGCGCGTTCCATAATCAAATTGTGCCGTACCTCAATCGTGTACCCGGCGACAAAACGCTGCTTAATCCACCGGAAAACAGCAGTTTTCAACCTGGCGCCGGCCGTGAACGGGGAACCACCAGTCCAACTGGTAATCCAATTTCTATGCATGGTGGGGTGGGTGGTAGCGAACAAGAAAAAGGGCATAACTCCCCAAAAATGGAGGGCGGCATCGATCAACAGCAGCAGCAGCAACAGCAGCAACAACAGCAACAACAACAACAACACCAGCAGCAGCAGCAGTTGCAACATCAACAGCAGCAACAACAACAGCAATCCTCATCTGAGGCCGCCGACATTAAGCCGGACATTAAAACAGACAACAAACCACCAATTGTGCTTAGCGATCCATTGGGCATGGCCGATACGATGGAAGAAATTAATCCGGCAGCGATAGTGCTCTACATAGTCGAACCATTCACCTTTGGATCAGATTCACCGGAACTGGAGCGATTAGCATGCATAGCATTGTTGCGTTGCTACGCCGAACTCTTAAAATCCATACCAGATTCAGTGCGTGCCAATATCAATATTCAAATCATATCGTTGGAATCAATAGTCGAATTGGGACGTTCACGTACTCGTAAACGTTTCTCAGACGAAATCAGATGCTTAGCATTGAACATATTCTCGCAGTGCCGACGTCATTTAGTGCACACACAGGCCGTAAAGAGTCTGACCGGTTTCGGCACAGCCGCCAATATGGAAGCATTCCTCAAAAGTAAAGACGAAAAGAACCGACAACCATACAAAATGTATACGCCACCGTATGTGTTGGCGCCAATGCATGAAAAAAATGACAAAACCGATTTTTCCCGCCAATCATCCAGCATGCGTGCGCTGAACGAGCAAAAATATTCTGTAATGTACTGTAATTATTGTCTAAGTGAAGATCAGAGTTGGTTGCTTGCGACCGTCACGGATGATCGTGGTGAGATGTTCGAGAAAATCATAATCAACATTGATGTGCCGAATCGTGCGCGTCGACGAAAAGCACCGGCGCGACGTGTAGGCCTTAAGAAGTTAATGGACTTCATAATGGGTTTAATCTCACAGACGGCACATCATTGGCGTTTGGTGGTTGGTCGCATTGGACGTATCGGGCACAGCGAATTGAAGTCGTGGAGTTCCCTGCTAAGCAAACAAAATCTACAGAAAGCTTCCAAGCAGCTGAAGGACATTTGCAAGCAATGCTCTCTTATGTACCCACCGGGTATACTGAGCGCCTGCTTGGTTACGCTGGAGCCTGACTCGAAGCTACGCGTAATGCCTGATCAATTTACGCCCGACGAACGCTTTTCACAAATATCTATGCAAAACCCACTTTCTACGCCGCAAGATGTAACATGTACACACATACTAGTGTTTCCAACAAGTGCTGTTTGTTTGGTGAGTAGTCTAGCCTATTTGGTATAGAGAATATTAAACTTCTAAAAAACTAAAAATATTCCATCTATTTTTACAGTCATTTACGCGCCAATTCCAAAATGAACCACAAGTCGACTTGGAGAACGATATAATATTTGATGATGATGATGAAAATGGCGGCTTTACCGATGCCGAACTCATGGGCGATCTGCTCGATTGGGACCGTAAGTGTTTGTACAAGTTTTTCTTTGATATTTTTAGTAATTAATATAATAAAAAAATATTTGTTTATTTAACAAATAGCTCAACCTGGTCGCTTATCGAACCACTGCAGCCCGGATCGTATGGAGGATAATCGCAGTTGGCCCAGCGCAGGCGGCAATAATTTTAATTCGGCGCAACAACAAGATGTGGAGGAGGTAATTTTGCAATGCAGATTGGTTGAAAATATTATTCTTAAACTTATGGTTTACCGATTTAAATTTCTTACAGGTGGGCTCAATAAATCAGCAACCCCTTGCTGTCGGCTACATGGTCTCCACAGCGCCGACTGGGCGTATGCCCTCATGGTTTTGGGCAGCTTGTCCACATTTGGAGGACGTTTGTCCGGTGTTTTTGAAAACAGCACTACATCTGCATGTGCCCAACATACAGACCGCCGATGATATACTCAATTCGACAAATGCGCATTCATCAGCCATAGACCATCCGCTGGACTCCTCGCTCACTGCTGATGTGTTGCGTTTTGTATTAGAAGGTTACAATGCATTGTCGTGGCTGGCATTGGACTCCAATACACATGATCGCCTTTCGTGTTTGCCAATTAATGTGCAGATGCTTATGGATCTTTACTATCTAACAGCAGCAATTATGTAAACTCTGAAAGTTTTGGGGAACAGGGTAAACAAAAAGAAAAACAAAAACAAAAACAAAAAACAATACCAAATTGTATGTAAAGAGCAGAGAAAGACCGTCAATTGTGTATACTTATCACATGCAATATATGTATGTGCTGAATATGGCGTAAAAATAATAATATGCAGTATTTTTATACAATAGTTAAATGTGTTGAACATCGGTAATGCTTACTTGATGTTGATCGATGCTTACTGCAATTTTTAGGTATTTTTTGTCTTAGTTTAATTTAAGATATTTTACTTAAGAACGAGAAAGTGCATTCAAATTGGTTTTGGCAGTTTTAATTGTGTGCTGCAATTAAGCTTTTGTGTATTTTTGAAAATTATTTCGAAGTTTGCTGTAGCTTATATTTTTGTGTGATATAAAGTTGAGGTTAAGAACCAATATCAATAAATTTGTATTTGATGCATACATAAAATACACTTCCATATGTACAAGGGCAAGGGCAAATCGCTCCTGATGGAATTTCATAACGCCAGCATTTTATGTGCTTCCGTTTCACAAAACTTCCAAGACTCTGAATGGCTGAAAACAACCCCCTCGAAACAAACTCATATCTTCGGCAAATTTATTAAAATTCAATTAACTATATTACCATTAAAGTGTACGCGAATTTTGAAACATCATACCAGGTATATAATTGTGTATTGCATATGGTTCTACAAAGTGCCGTTGGTACTGAATGCAAATTGGCACTTTGCTGGTAGCTATAGTCACAATTATCCGCCCAATCAATATGTGTTGATGTCAAAAACGCCTGTTTTTGATGCTAGTACAATTTTTACTCGTAATGACTTTGAAATGAATCCTATACTAGGGGTATACTACAATATATGGCGATTTTAGTTAGTTTTTAAATTAAAAAAATATAAACAAATATTCATAATTACAATTTTTCTTTCTCTACGTGTCGTGAATTGTGCTTGAAAGTTTCAATCGAATAAAAACGTCGCTATTCATCTTGTGTTTAACGATTTTAAAGCAAAAAACATAAATTGCCTTATATTTCACACAAGATTGTAGATTAAATTAAATACATAAAAAATTATATAATATTTAAAAGCAATTACAACAATTTTCAATAATATTATGAAAATAAAATGCAGCATTATTGGTATTTATATTTAATGACTATAACGTTTTTGTAAATAAATATAGTTTTAGGTTGAAAAGCAGGTAGAATTAAACGAAAAAAGGTAATATAAAGAACAAAAATTAAAATAAAGTAAAATATGCGCAAATTCAAATAGCATTTTATTACACACAAGAGAGAGACGGCTGGTTGCAGAGCTACCATTAAAGCGTCTCGAGTGTAACAAGGCGCGAAAAATAAAAAAGTTGAAAAAAAAAACAACAACAACAAACATCTAGTAAATTAGATTAAAATCGAATTAACAATTAACAATAGTATATACTTACACATACAAATATATAGATATAGATATGCAATAATGGGTGTAGTTAACGTAAGGCAATTTCATTTAAGAATGTAGATATAATGAAATTATAGTTTTATACATATGTAAATTAAAAGAGAGTTTGTAAGCGCATTAAATTTGTATGAGAATGCGCAATGAAATTATAAGTAATGTATTGTAATGTAATGTACGGTAAGTGAAGGACTAAAATTCACACATATAATACATATACAAAGTATGTATGCATGAATTATGAATTTTTAAATATGAACACATTTAATGTCTGACAGTTGTAACTATAATAATGAAATATATTTCTACATGTATGAATATTATATATATAAACTGATAATACATATTTGCATGTACTAACTCTATTATAAGTAAGAAAAAAGAAAATAATTTTCACTGTCGATTTTCGTAAATTCATTGGTAGATGAAGCGTTGCTATTAAATAAATATGTATGTGCGTTTGTATGGGAAAATATATGTATGTATATATTTTGTACAGATAATGTGGCAAATGCAAATCAAATTATATACGTATGATTGCGTGTTATTAGTAGATATGAACAGAACTTGCATATGAAATAACAAACAACTATTATCTTGTAAAAAGCATATAAAGAACATAAAAAACTCTCAAGTGTTAAAAAATAAAATAATTAGTTAACATTTCATAACATTTATTTATTCAATATATGTAAATAGATTATTGTTAGAACACAAATAAAAGTATGTATGATTTAAGCACAAAAATTAACATTAACTGCACACTAATATCCGCTGTACATGTATTTATGTATGCTCTTAGTAGTATTTTAAGTTTTTTTTTATTTCCTTTTTATTATTTTTTTATTTTTTTAATGAAAACAAAAATCAAGTGGTAAAATCCTTTTTATAAAGAAAAAATATTTTTTGTAATAATGTTATATTTTTATAGCAAATTTCGATAAGCATTTAATTTTTACTATGAAAAATTCTAAATTATTTTGAATAAAAAATAAAAATGTTTAATTTAAGTTTGAATTAAATTTAATTAGAATTTAAATTCTCTACTATTGGTTCTAATTTTTGGCTTAAATATATCTTAATACATACTAGTGTTTTTAAGCAAGACTAAAACTTGATATTACCGCTTGAGAGATTCTTTCTATCATGAGTATTGCGATTGTATTAAAAATACATTTCCAGTTAAATAAAATAACTATGAATCAAAGACTCATTCATTTAGCAACTATAAATTTGCATCACTGGTTATCTCGATTCAAACACTCTGCAAATCCTCACATACGAAATACATTTTGTCAGTGTTTTCCTTTAACACATTTCCTGCACCAGAGCTTCCACCAGAACTGCTACCGTCTGTTAGAATTATTTCACTTCTCTGTTCGCTGCTCAAATTTTAGCAAATGAACAAAAATTAGTCGTTTCTTAATTAATTCCTTACTTTTTTTTTCTTAAAGTGACTTCACCTTTTTTTACTCATGCGTGTGCGTGCGTGTGTGCGTGTGTGTGTGTATACTCTTTGTGTACGTATGAGTGTGCATGTTGGCTATGTACAAATAGTAGTTTAAATTAAAATAATTAACGGTCCAACAATAAATTGTATTATTTTGTAAATGTTAGTCAAAGTAAAAGACCAGCGTGCAAAATATATGCAACAAAACTATGAATTTTAAGTTCGTTCAGTGCTGGAAGTACTATACATAAGTAGATTCATACATATACATATACACGTAATTTTATTATAATTGTAATGAAATTATTATATTATATATATAATAATAAATAGTGAAATATGCAAATATGTAAAATAGTTTTCTTGCAGTTTTCGGGCAATAAAACGATTTATTGATAGATATTTTTATTTTCATTTAATTTTAATTATGAGTTATGCAAGCAAAAGCATGTAAAAGTATCAAATATCATTTAAAGACGACCCACATACATGCATATTTGTCAATAAGAATTTTTTTTTATATACATATACAAATTTTGTATGTAGCTACCAGCTAATAATAATATAAAATACATTTGTAGTTTAATAATAACGAAAACAACTTAAATTTGTAACATTAAATTTTTAAATATTACACAATGTTTTGGTCCCACACGCATGTCTATTTTAGTTAATTTCTTTTTAATTAGTTTTCTTATAGAATTATTATATATAATGAAATACTATTACTATTGACAACAATTTATTGTTTTGTATGTAAATTTAATTGTGTTTTTAAAAGTTTATATGAACAAACAAATACAATATATACAAATATTTTTAAATACACATAAAAGAAATGTGCATGATTTCATTGGTTTCAATTCTGTTAAGAACTGAAATTAGTTTGATATCTCAACATCTGCAATGGCAAGTATTTTGAACACCCGAAAACCTTTTTTTTTTGTTTTTTTTTTTTGATGCAAAAATGACTCGGAACTGCTTCATTACAGAATAACATCCTATTCGCGAAACAGGATTTAATTTATTCAATGCACAAAACAAAATTATGACTGAGTTGATTTTTTTGATATCTGAAAAATGAAAATTTTTCTTCGTGGAATGAGAGAAATAAAATAAAGACACCATTACATAAAATAAAGTAGAAAATGAAATGGAAAATTGACAAAATATAAATAAAAAATCGATAAAATGAAATAACAAAAAATCATAAAACTAAACATCGACAATTTAAATTTAGAATGAAAGAAAGGTCGGCGAAAAATATTAAAATAAAAGAAAAGAAAATTTTCCATAAAAAGAAAAAAATTAAATACAAATAGAACAAGATGAAATCAATTGAAAAAGAACAAAATAAATAAAGTATAGAATATATGTATAATGAGCAAAAATAAATTAATTAAATAAAATGAAATAAAAATAATATAAATAAAATATATTTAAAAAAAAAATTAAATTTAATAAAGTAAAATAAAATAAAATAATAGCATTGAAAGAAATTCAAGTAAAAAATAATATAAAGTGAAGTAAAAAAACTATAAGTCTCCGATTAATTTTCTGGATCATTTGTTGCATTGAAATTTTGATTTCTTAAAGAGGCACAATATCGAATACAATTTTTCTTTACTGTGCACATTTCCATAGTTTTATGTGCTAAACAAATGGTTTCAATTTTAAAATAGGCAAAAAACTTCTAAAAATATTATATTTAAGTGAGTTCAGGCTATTTTATTGCGAATAATTGTTGGGCCTAAGGAGCTTCTTTAATATTAATATTTTGCTTCCAAGCACAGTAAATCTAAATATATACATAAATACATAGATATGCCTACATTTGAAGATGAATCTGAGTATGAGTGGAATCGGTATGAAAATATTTATATGTAGTATATTTTGTACATTTGTATAAATATATTTGTGTGCTTAATGATAGAAAAGTTGAGATGAATGTAAATTTATTTGATTGTATATTTAAAATTGTGTAAAGTAGAAGAAAGCCATGCGTATGTTTGTATGTATTTACGCTTTGTAAAAGAAATTAAAATAAATATTGAGGTTATGAACAATAAACTACACCAGCTGTGTATTAAATATACAAACTTATTTTATTAATATAAGGTTGAAATTAATAATATTAATATATTTCGAAATAGATTCGGATTCGAATTGCGATAATATGATCAAGTTGGCCGCTGTAAATACGCCTATTTTATATAAAGCCATTGTTTCATACATATATGCATGTACATACATACGTATCTGCACACATAAACCATTGTAAATGATACAGTTACTTATATAATTACGTACTTATGTATGTTATTTGATAGAACAAATATTTATGCGTTTTAGTTTGATGGATTTGTTCGGTTTGTTCGGTGAAAACAGCAGTTTTGTTTGAGAAAGCGCAATTTGTTTATGAATATATGAGTATATTTGTTAAATTGTTACTAAATAAACTAAATATTATATGTATGTATTCACTATTTTTAATTATAAACTGTGAACTGTATGTAAATATAAAGATATTTTTAATTACTGAATATATACATATGTATATATACATAGGCATATGTAAAAAGTTGAATTCTGTGAATGCACAGCCATGCATACATACATATGTGTACATATAATATATACATGCATGCAAAAAAAAATAATAATAATACTATTTAAAGTTATGTAGAGCTAAAGCTCATAAACTATGAGTATACACACTTATACGCAAACATAGGCATATACATAAAATGAAAGAAAAAAACAAGTAAAACTAGTAGGCCAAATAATTTTTAAAAGAACCCGAAAAGTCACACAAATGCCGCTTCAAATATACATATGTATGTATGTACATGCATATGCACATTTTATGCAATTACACCCATACATACACATATATTTACTATGTATGTAAAAATGTAGGAACATTTGTATGTTTAAGGACATGTGTGGAGGTACTCAACAATGCGGCAAATGCAGCGAGGTTTAATTAGCATTGTTTATATACATACACATATACATACAACACATACATAATAATAATTAGCGACAAATTGGAATGAAATGTTAAGTAATTAAATGCAAACACACACCCACATGTATAAGCAATGATATGCTTTGTGTTGTAGGCATTAACATAACATAACATAACGTGACGTAACATAGCATTAGATATAGATTTAATTACAATTAAGGACAGTTTAAATGAATATATTATGATTGTAACTAAATATGATTGTAAGTTAGCTACTAAGTTAGGCATTTTTGAAAGCAAATACAATTTTTCAATATAAAATATTTATTGTTGTCTTTTTGGTATGGGGCATTTTTTTTTTAAATTATCAGCCTCTTTAGTGCACATCAACGGATTCAATTATATATGGTATACGGTAAAGAAGCTGACACCGTTAGGAAAGAATCGGCTAAAGTAGTGGCTACAGAATCGGTAGAACAGAATGCCTTCTCACCATATAACAGAACGCGAGTGATGAGAGACTTGTAGAGTTTGGTTGATGCTCGTCAAGAGAGAACGTTACTTTACAATTCCCTACTCAGCCCAAAGTAGCACCTGTGCGCAAGAGTGATTCTGTTTGTTTTAAAACAGCAGATATTTAATCTTATCCTCATTCACCACCAGACTCATCAATTTACTTTCTTAACTAATTTGGAGTACGTAGAACTAACATAACATGTTGAGCCGTAAGGTGTGTGGTGGTACTTAATTCGGACATATCGAAGTCGTTTTCTTTCGTACAGTTGAAAGCAGTTTTAAAATCCGTTTTTTTCAAGATTTTGTGCAGGATCTAACGTCGTTGTTGTTCTTCTGGCAAACAATTGGTATTTGAAATTCTTCGTAGTCGATCGAACTGTTGTTATTGGTGTTGTAACCGCAAAAATATTGCCCAAAGTACTTTTTGGGGAATTTACGGGAGTGACAGTCCTTGGCCGGATTAAAATCCAGATAGTTCCTACCGTCGCGGGAACTATTGTGTTTTAGTCGCCTCTTACGAGCCCCTAACCCGCCGGGGGATCGAACTGTCCTTGTGTTTGGTGACATGTCTTCGGTCAATCACACGTGACCGATTTGGTTGCCCGATTTTCGATACGGTGACATTCATGTAGCTTAATGAATTTTCTTATGTTGGAAGCTGGTGCTACACACAATTATATTTCGATGTTGACATCGTGGCGAGACATTAGAAAATCAATCAACTGGGCAAATACATAAATAAAAGGAATGTGTGTGACTTATTCATTAGCGTATGTGACGGATCCCACTAGGAAAATTATCACGAATAAAAAGATATACGTGGGGCAAAAGTTAAAACAACGGGTTTTCCGCCATTTTTAGCAAAGCGGTAATTTTAATCAAAAAAATTATTTAGACAATAAAATGTAAATCAGATAATTAACTATAAAATTGGACTTAACTGATGGCTCAATCCTTAAGGGTTGAAAACGAGTGACATATTTCGCATGGGATAGCATATAGCGAAGATTGTGCGTCGTTAACTCTTCTAGTCCACTTCTCGGAAAATAGTCTCATTCCATTCATGTTGGAGCAAATCATTGACGAAAACGAAATTTGATCCGAATTGGTTTGTAGTTTCGGAACGTTTGAGCCAATTTGAGCTGACAAAGAATCCTATTTAATTAAATTAGCAATGAGATTTTAATGGACTTGAAAGAAGTTATCGTAATTGTTGTAGTAAATTATCGCTTAAACATCGTCTCTACTTCAATTCTATTGTGAATTACCAAACACATGCCAGAGAACGTATAATTGGTATAATAACGTAATATACGTTCTCTGCAATTCAAGCACGTGGATGGTTTGTTTACAATTTGTGAGATTGACATTCGTGCATTCAACTCAGATCGAATATTATTATAATTTTATATTATTAATATATTTATACGTTCTCTGTTTAACTCACATATAAAAGGATAAAAGTGGATTGTTAGGAAGATTTGATACAATTTAAAATGGATAGCAACGTGAAGCTATCTGGAGAAATGGAGCAGCAGAATTTGCGAAAAAGGCGTACAGTTGTGGGTCCATGGAAAGATGTGTAAGTTTTTAATTTTTAAGAGTTTTGTGTATATCGATTTAACTAACTTAACTTTTCGTTACTCAGAAAGGAATTTCGTTCCGTATATGAGCATTTGTATGGCGAAGATACCGATGCAGAACAACAAATGCAAGCACTTAGCCAAATTAATATTTGGAGTTTGAGACGAAGCACGCAATGCCCAGCCGGTGTGCTAGCGACTAAAACAATTTTTGAGGTACAATGTTTGGATAAGAGCAAAGGCCAAGAAGCCATTACAGAAAGTGTTTTACAAACGCTATATGCAAGTGCCATTATACGTTTTTTTAATTTTATGTCATCGACGATGCAAACACACAATATGCGTTCAATGTACGATACTGCGAGTATGCTGGGCTTACCATCCTTTGTAGTTGACTTGCGACATCTCTGTGCACATGGTCAAGTCTTACCACCTCTTGACTTATTAAGGAGTACAGTAAGCAACTGTATAGTGTGGCTTCGCGATTACTATTGGGTACCACAATTGGAGTCTATGTGTGATGTCGAAGCGAGCAAAATTCGACGTAAAGATAAGACGTTGTTTGAAGAAAATGTAACAAAGTTGTTGGTTATTTACGATGCCGCCTTGGAATGTTATTGTAAAGGAGCGCATAATATGAAAACTGGCAAGCGACATATTAGCGGCAAGAGATTAGCGGAATTAAGAACATTTTATGCAGAAAAGAAGTTGACTTCGTTGAAAGACACATTGGAGTTTGTATTAAAAGAGTTGATAATTTTAGTCAAACGTGAAACTGGTATCAAAGATATGTCGGAGATTTTTATTGAAGCTCTGCAGAAGATGAAATTTTTCTTTACTGTTGGAGGTGAATTTAATTTTTTTTAAAAATGCTTTTATGTACGAAAACTATAATTTTCCATTTTTAAAGACACTTATAACGCGGATGAACCACTTGAAATCCTTATTGGCGCAACACATAGCTTTTTCCGAATGTTGGCCGTATATGGTTTCATTGAAGACGTCTTTTATAGTTTCATAGGCTTGGCTGAGAATACATATTTAGATGAAATTCGTCGTACCGGTGCAAGTTTTTGGGCAACTCGCATAGCGGCTGGATTTGTCGCCTTTCGAAAATGCAAACAAATGTACAAAGCTGAATTGGAAGAAGTAATTTACTAGCTTGAGTAACTGTTTTTGCAATAACACTTACATTTTCTAAATATAGAATCCGCATACAAAAGACTTCGACTTCACTTCTTTAAATTTGGAAAATATCTCCAAGAAAATGAGAAGACATTTAATATATGCGGGTGTGGACATTAAATGTACCCCAATTTTTGGTGATTCCATGCGCCGACCTTGGGTATGGATAGTCGAAAAGAGTTATGTAGAGGAAAAATTGAGTTCTATTAATAAATATAATGGACCAATAATCAAAGGGTAATATAACATAATTACCTAATATTTAATTAATAACTAAAGATTAAATTTCTTTTAGTATTTTGCCACTTGTCGATCCGCCACTAACAACTTCCGAAATTAGAGGCATATCACTTCTTATCGATGCATATTTAGGAAAGAGGACAGGAGTGAAAAAAGTCGTTGCGGAGCCTGTCAGCAAGGATGATACCATACACACGGCTAGTGAATTGCTGCAAGCCCTGAAAAAGCAAAGTGGCAGCGGAGATGAAAAAATGCATATCGATGAAAATGAGGCAGTGAGTGAAAATAAAGGGCAGTTTGGTATTTGGACACTTGAAAAGAGTAGGACAGTGACAAAACTTTAAGAGATCTATAATTATGAAAATTTTGAAATATTTGCAGATGATGAAATAACGAATTGGTCAGTATGCCCTTTGGGACGATTACCGTGGGAGACCTAAAAGTCTACAATCTGCTTGAATTAATATTGCATGATTGCATAAGTTCGTGCCTGATTTCAAGTGCAAACTAATATTGAAGTTTTTTGAAGAAAGCGCTTTTATTAATCAATTATGTATTCGCCATCATGTTTGGCAATCCACTCCCAACGTTCAACCAATTTACGGATGCCCGATTCATAGAAATCACGCGGTTTCTCGTTGAAAAAGGTGTCAAGGTGGTTTTTGACGTCTTCCACATTTTTAAATTTTTTTCCATTCAAATTGTTCTGCAGCGATAGAAACAAATGATAATCAGAAGGTGCAATGTCGGGTGAATATGGGGGATGCGGCATGATTTCCCAATTTATCTTCAGTTTGGCCAGGTTCGGTTTTGCAACATGTGGTCTGGCGTTGTCATGATGGAAAAGAACTCCTTTGCAATTGGCCAAAATCGGACGTTTTTCATCAATTGCTTTCTTCAATTCGACCAATTGCTGACAATACTTGTTGGCAGTGATCGTTTCTCCAGGTGGCAAGAGCTCAAAATGGGTCACGCCTCGGATATCCCACCAAATGCACAGCAGTACCTTCATCGGATGCAATCCACCTTTCAACATCGCTTCCGCCCCTTCGTGTGCCTGTTTCCATGTTCTTTTGCGTTGAACATTGTTGTACAGGATCCATTTTTCAGCACCAGTCACGAGCCGATCCAAAAAAGGTTCGTTTTTGATCCGTCGAAGCAAAGAAATTGCTGTTGCTTTGTTTTTTCACTCAACTGATGTGGTACCCATGCATCGAGCTTCAAAGTGCACCCCAACTTTTTTAAACGACGAAACGCAGTTGATTTGTTGGCGTTCAATTCACTGGCAACCTCTTCCGTCGAAATACGTGAGTTATTCGCAACTAAAGTCCTTAGAACATCGTCATCAAGCTCAGAAGGCCGTCCACTGCGAGGTTGATCTTCGAGGTTAAAATCTCCAGAACGAAATTTCGCGAACCATTTCTTTACTGTGCAGAGTGCTGGAGCACGGTCCAAATAAACTTCGCGAATATCTTTAGTTGCAGCGCCTACTGTTTTTCCTTAGCGGAATTCGTATAACATAATATGACGCATATGATCTTTTTCGTTGTCCATCTTCCATGCGTCTTTTCACTAAGCAACTCAAATCAAAATGAAGTTATTTTATGCTTAATTTACAGTTCGGACTGTCAGCTTTCCAACGATTTATAAAATGTATATATTTCTTTCACGAGCGCCATTCTCAAACGATTCGAACGGCAACCAGCGGAATCGGGCACGAACTTATGCACTCATCCAATATAAAATAATGTTTTTTTTTTGTTAATATTTATTGTTTTCGACAATGAAAATATGTACATACTTGTTTTATTCAACTATGTTATCGTGATACATATTTTCTTTTATACAAAATAAATGACTTACAAAAAATAAACTTCGTTTCATTTAAATTGAAAATAAAATTATTCAGGTTCATGGGGTCGTAGGTTCGAAACCCACTGCGGTAAAATTTTAATTTTTTTTTATTTTTTTTTATTTTTTTTTTATATTTTCATAAATAATATTGTTTTTTTTCATAAATCTTATTTAATTTATTTTCTTCTATAACCAGTAAAATTTTTAAAACAATTTCAATCAACTTAACTTGTAGCCAAGCAAAAAGAAATTGCTGTCATGCGCATTCGTGTACATAAATAAGCACAAACAAACTCACATGTACTTTACTCGCAGTGCTTGCTTCTAAAAATAACTACAAAGCACGAGAAAACTGGTTTGTTGGCACGTATTCTATCTGAAATATACACACACTCACTCGGCAAAGAAGCAGCAATGAAATGAAACCAAATTTTTTTTGTATACAATAAATATGCACAAGTAGGTGAATTAGTACGTTTGTTCATTCGGTTTCGACTGGAAGGTTGGCATCTTCTGTAATCACGCTTCTGTGAGGTCGGATTGTGGAATGGCCTGAGGCCGGGAGTCCTGTGTGGTGGGCCAGTTCATGTTGACGGAACGTCCGCACTAAGCTTGCCATCAATATGGGTGCCAAGGAGGAGTCCTAGGCATTCAGGTTGGCTAAGGAGGGATGAACCGGGCCAGGGGTGAAAACCAGCAGCCAAGAGTTCCCGTGGTAGGCAGTAGTGGGATAGCGTACCGGAGTGGAATGCCACTACCAGCCCAGTCAATATGGTTAGACCGCAATCTTTTTGCAATTTTTTTTCCCTTCATAAATTTCTATCTTAGTTATTCTTTTAATTTTAATAATATTTCTTTAAGCGCCTATTTTTTACTTTTCATTCTCGTCTCAGTAACTTTTTTTTTTGGTTATTTGATCTCAATTTTCAATCACCTAAATTAATTTTGTGTATTTTACGGCTCTTCTTTAATTATCATTCGATCTTTATTATTTTTTTTTATATAGACAATTTTTCCAATTATCACTGGCTTGGTCCCAGTCAAATGTTTTTGCCTTTTTTTTTAACATATTTTCAGTTTTTCTGGCTTCATCTGAAAATTCGTATAACTAATAATTTTAATGTAATAATTGTTGAAGTTTTTTCTAATAAAAAATTGCTAGTTTGGTTATAATTCATTTATATTCTAAACTTAATTTCTTTTGTTTCGGGAACTTTTTTCGGCATCTTTATTTATATACATATTTTAAGTAAATTTTTATATTAGTTAAATAATTTTGTTACATTCAGTTTGATCTAAATTTTTTTTTATTATAACATACACGTATTTTATGTTTAACACAATATTGTTATTTATTGTTATTGTTTCTCATTAAAAATTTGCTAAAAACGCGTAAAATTAGTATTCCCTTTACTTTCTTTTGTTGTTTTGTGAATAATTTTGTTTTTTTCTTATTTTTGTATTAACCATAATTTTTATTTATTTAGTTATGTAAATAATTACATCTCCATAATAACATACTGAAATCCACATACATATGTAATTAAGATTCCTGCAGATTGCGCAACAACAAAAAATATGAGCCGCTCATTCTGAATAACTGTAAAATACAAGTTATGTAGGATAGTTAAATTCCCAAAGATTTTTTCAATTAAAAATGCTTAAAAACACTTTATGAACATACAGCAATTAAGGTGGCCAGGTTCATTAAAGTAAACCATGAGACTTCTAGATAAAAATGGCGATTAGTGCGCATTATCATCATACGCAAAAGTTGCTTGAATTTCTTGCTCTCTTCATACCATCCACAGCTGTAGAACGCCAAAGGCATTTCTTCGCTCTTAAATAAAAATATTTATAAAAAAAAAACATTAATATGTGATAAAAAAAAAACTTACCACACTAGTCAACTGTTGACCATTATAACAGTAAATTATAATCTGGGTTCCACCTGCGGAAATATACATTATCATACGTATGAAAATGGTTATGCTTGATTCCTAGGGGTTGGCAAAAAAAAAAAAAGAAAAGAAAAAAGCTCATTATACAAATATAAGATTTCCATGTAATTTTTTTCGCTTTGCCAAGAATCTATAATTTTCTACTCACTAAACCGAAACTCATTTCGAATAGCACAAAACCAAATACTATCAAGCTGAGCACGAATTGCGACAAGCTGACGTGCTTATAAATAGTTTGAACTTGCTGCACATACCTGTAAGGAAATAAATTCTCACTTGAATTATTTATATATACGTACATACATAAATACATTAACCAGTCCATTATTCCATAATTTGTATATACTTTACAACACTTGTTGTTAGCTGTCCGAATATAGAACAGTTTGATGGTGAATATTCAAGGGAAAACGAAATGTGTTCTTCCAAAGAATCTTTGGTTAGCAAACGATGTATTTTGATACAAACAATAAGAAATTTGAACACGAAATGGCGCTTTTTCATTACTGCTCCATTTGGAGGTTTTGCGGAATTTTGAAGTTTGACTGAAATTTCGCCAACAGTTTGGCGTCCGCCTGCGTTTTTTTCAGTGCCCCATTCACAATAGCATCATTTTTTTGTTTCGAATTATTATTAGTTAGGTCGGGTATAGTTTAACTTCAAGTTGCTTATTTTGCGTTGTTGTTTTCCATGTTATTCTATTGGGTTGCCCAAAAAGTAATTGCGGATTCTTCATATAGTCGGCGTTGACAAATTTTTTCAGCGGCTTGTGACTCTGTAATTGCATTCTTTCTTCTGTCAGTTAACAGCTGTTACTTTTAGCTTGCTTTAGAATGAAAGTGCGCAAAATTTTGTTTACATTTGTTTGTTTGGCGTAAAGTAAAAAACGCGGAGCAGGTTGCTAAAAAGTTACGAGATGTGTATGGTGATGAAGCCTTAAAAGGAAGACAGTGTCAAAATTGGTTTCGCAAATTCCGTTCTGGAGATTTTTCACTTAAAGATGAGCCACGTTCAGGTCGGCCAAATGAAGTTGATGATGACCAAATCAAAGCATTAATCGAATTGGATCGTCATGTAACTGAGCGTGAGATAGGAGAGAAGTTAAATATACCAAAATCAACCGTTCATTATCACATAAAAAGTCTTGGACTGGTGAAAAAGCTTGATATTTGGGTACCACATGTATTGAAAGAAATTCATTTAACACACCGAATCAACGCTTGTGATATGCACCTTAAACGCAATGAATTCGATCCGTTTTTAAAACGAATCATAACTGGAGATGAAAAATGGATTGTTTACAACAACGTTAGTCGAAAACGATCATGGTCCAAGCATGGTGAACCAGCTCAAACCACTTCAAAGGCTGATATCCACCAAAAGAAGGTTATGCTGTCTGTTTGGTGGGATTGGAAGGGTGTCGTATATTTTGAGCTGCTTCCAAGGAACCAAACGATTAATTCGGATGTTTACTGTCAACAATTGGACAAATTGAATACAGCCATCAAGGAGAAGCGACCAGAATTGGTCAATCGTAAAGGTGTCATATTCCACCAGGACAACGCTAGACCGCACACATCTTTGGTCACTCGCCAAAAACTGAGTGAGCTTGGCTGGGAACTTTTGATGCATCCACCATATAGCCCTGACCTTGCACCATCAGACTACCATTTATTTCGATCTTTGCAGAACTCCTTAAATGGTAAAACTTTCGGCAATGATGAGGCTATAAAATCGCACTTGGTTAAGTTTTTTGCAGATAAAGGCCAGAAGTTCTATGAGCGTGGAATACTAAATTTGCCAGGAAGATGGCAAAAGTTTATAGAACAAAATGGCAATTATATATTTGATTAAAGTTCATATTCGGCATATTTTTGCTATTTCTTCCGATGTAACTCATTATAAATTTAGTGCAAAAGATAAAAATTATTCATAACTTACACACGCACTCGTTGGTAAGTGAAAATCACATATCTCAAATAATCAACTCTCCGCTCAGGGGGTATAAGGGGTGATGTTGCTCTTAGTACCAACAAATTGTGAACCTTTACCAAACCAACAGCATGCTGACATAGAACTATGAATACGCCATCGAAGCTGACAGCACCTTAGCGGAATAAATATGTATGTATGGATTTGAAGATAAAAATTATTAATCTCCCCAAAAATATTTTAATCGTACTTACAAATTCCGGCTATATATACAGCACTGCCCGTCATATACATTTGCAGATGATAGTAGGGAAATGTCATGCCCTTAGCTTCCCAAAATGGATAGAGTGCTGGAAAGGCTGGTGTCATAGAAAAACAAATATTTATTTTGAAATAACATGACTCCTGCTTGGAATATAACACCAACATATGCAGATAGTGGTCTAACTAGCTTTTGCTCTCGAATTCGTCCGCCTTGCGATTGAAAACAGTTCCAATAGGATTTTATTTATGTTTTCCTTAAAAAATCGGTCCCTCAACTCCCCGGAAAGGAGTATAATTTCTATTTAGTTGGACCAAATCACTTTCGAATATGAAATTTGATTAAAATCAGTTCCGTGGTTCCGGGCGCACAAACAACGTTACATTCGTTGTAGAATTTGAGAAAATTCTTTTTTATTCACAGAACACACTTCTTCCTTAGTGGCATGGACACGTACTACGTGAGCCAATAAAAGTTTGCCGGTAGTCAGGTTCCTAACCATAAGGTATTTCCAACGCTTTGCTTTCCCCAATTTGTGTGGTAACAACCGCTTTCAAGCATCACTTGGACATTTATTTCACACAGTTCATCGTTTCATCATTTCGTGTGCAAAAGTTCCCGCAAAATGTACTGATTATATACATAGCTTGCCTCCCACAAGGGTGAAAGGGCCGCGTAAAAGTACACGTCATGACTTGAGACACTTAAAAACCTAAATGGACGGTAATCTTAACCCCGACTATTCTTGAAACGTTAATACTTATTCTATTGTTAATGAAAAACAACAAATGAAAAGAAATACATTTTGTAAGGCGACGCGGGAAAATAAAAAATCGGCATACAGCGCCATTGCTAATCTTTTCTGCTTCAATTTTTTTATTAAATTGAAAATATTATGTATGTATGTATGTATGTGTGTTTATAAAAAAGTAGTATAAAAGTACTTACGCAGTATAAAATTATAATTCGGTGTTTGCTTCAATTGATGATAGAGATTCACGAAGAATGCGCCAAAAAAGTAATTAAATACAATGCCAATGCAACAACAAAAATAAAATAATATTTGACGACGAGCATGACGCCAAACGCCGGACATAATATCATCGATCTCCTGCTTCAATTGACGATTTATTGGAAAATCTAGATTTAAAGAGTGGAAAATACGAATAACAAAAAAATATAATAAAATGAATAAATAAAAAACTCAAATAACCATATTTAAATATCTCTATTTTGCGTATCACTTCATGTGTCAGCGCTTGATCAATCAGCCGGTAAAATGTTCGTTGGGTGAAGAGAAAGTACACCATTTTTACGGCGGAAATGAGTGTTTGCAAGGCAGTGCAAACGGTCTGTTGAATTAAAAAAATTTATGAGAGTAATATAAGTATTATTTATGGAAAATATATATTTAAAACACTGGTGCACAAAGCAAAGAAAAGACGAGGGCTGTAGTCGAAAGAGTGGAAAGCTCATCACTGGAGAAAAGAACTTTAATAAAAAACTAAAGAATAAGAAATTTGAATGAGTAAAAAGGGAAACCAGACAGACAGGGGTAACGTTTCAATTTTTTCTTGAAAAGATGCGATAACTGGCAGAAGCTTTAGAGATCGAAGCATAGTCTTGATAAAACTTCTGGCTGCCAACTAAATTTGCTTTAAAAATTCGACTTCTGCGGATAATGAACGTTGACGGTAAGGTAGGCGTTGCATCGCTCGACTAAGACGAAGTTCGAAAAGCGAATATTTGGCTTGGAAATAAGCAAAGCAACAGGAACCTAAAGCTAATCGCATAGAGAGACGAAGTTCAAGGTGCATAATGTGTTCTTTCCAGTCCATAATATGAGGTATATACGACTAATAGATTTAGCATAGACCAGATAAACGCCATGCCTTCCAAGAAAAAAGAAAAGAGTCATGAGAGCAGTTTGAACTTCACCTAAAGCTGCCTTTGATGGCATCATAACGGCTGTGTACTAAAACAATACCCGAAGCGCATTCAGAAATGTGAAGGAACTTTTAAAGATAGTCGGTTCTGAGATTCCAGACTCTAGACAAAGAAGGTATAGAAGGGTTTGGTAGTGAACGAGAACAAAATCAAATAGCTCCTGTCATTAAACAAACTGCTACGGAGCCTATGCTAATTAAGAAGAAGAATAGTAGGAATTAGTAATATGAAAAAACAGCTATTTTTAACAAGTTTGTTATTGTTTTATTAATTTTTATTCCATTGCGTTAAAAGTTTAAGAGACGTTGCTCTTGCACCCAATCTACAAAAGAACGTTGGTAGGCTATCCAACAACAAGGAAAACAATACCCGACTTGACTAATAGTGTTGCAAAGTAAAAAAATGCTACTATTGTGAATGGGCCACTAAAAAAAACGGAGGGAATCGTCAAATCTCAGAGAACTTATAATAACGAATTCTGTTAATTTCTGGGCCGGTGGTGAAATATACTTTCATAACTCGACTACGTTTTTGACAGTTTCCACGCTGGTCTGCAATTGAACTTTCTCGTTACATTAAATTGGAACAGTAAGTAACTGCTACCCCTAAATTGGAGCGTCAAGCGCTAAACAACTATCAAGAATCCTCACGGCCATACAATTTGTATGGGACATCCCACAATAGCGCGGCGTCAACGTTGAGCAAATGGAATTTTCAAATTTGACAGCGCGTTATGTGATGAAGTTAGGTGAGAAGGATAAAAACGTGAGAGAAATGAGAAAAACTGACGGAGAGAAATAGGCGAATAGGAAAAAACCTGACAAATAAATTGTAATTTTCGAATGAAGTGATATATATTCGCTCAAAAGCTAATTCAACTGGTGGGAACACACTTTTGTCGACCCGATTAAGTTGCTAATATCTTGTTTGAAGTAAATGCAATTAATTTCTTAAATGTTCTTAATATAAAACGAACTTGAAGAGAAAGAGAAAACGTCAAAACGTTAGCGCTCTCATTTTGGAACAGAGCCCGTTGCCCCTCATTGGCGTTAGAAAACGCTACGCCGAACTCTCAATTTAAGCATGCCAGTAAAGTATGTAGAACCTATGAGACCCTCATTTTTTTAACTAAAGATTCTTCGGAATTAAGCTCAAATTATGTGCTAATTGAATAGTGGAAAATAAGCCAGCTGGCCGTTCTTCTGCAGGTCGGTTGCAAAAGAAAAAAACCAGTTAATTATCGAAAAGTTTTTATAGAGAGTCAGATGCGGGTGCTCTTCTGTGCGGCACTTAGTTGTATGGTGCAAGTAATAATTATGATCTTATTGTAAGAGAACAAACCTCAGCCAGGAGCGGTATATTATCAAAATGTCGTATTAGATAACACCAGTGGGCATATAAGGAGAGAATGCTGGTCGTTACCAAGATTACATTGAAACTTTAATAGAAACAAGAATATAAAATAAAAATCAAATGACGTTTAAACAATTACTTAATAAGTTTTAATTAATTAATGATCAGTTTAAGTTCTTTTTTCTTACATTTAATTACACTTACATTCTCAACGAATCTTTAAATCTAGTGGGCGCAGTCAAATTCACACCCAATCCAAAGGATACTCTAATGAGCACTTTGATCGAGTTGTAATTGCGTTTGTAAACGTCCTCCACTTCTTCTAAAATCATGGTGACCACATCACTCGGCACTTTATGACCATTTAATTGCTGCGCGCGTATCATCTTAAATACTGTTATCTGAACATAAAAAAACGACCCTCCAACGCCCGTCTTTGCATAAAATTTTAATCGTTTAATTGCTGGCTCGAAAATGGGCTTGTAAAGATTATTTAAAATTCCATTATTATGCACACCCACCAAATGCGTTGGTCAATTGGTTTAATTGTTTCATCAGCATGTCCTTTTGTGTGTGTGTGTGTGTGTGTGTGTGTGTGTGTGTGTGTGTGTGTGTGCGTTAACCGCCCTCCAGCAGGGGCGTTGAGAATATTCAATGTATAATTGCTGCTCAGGCGTTAGCACATACATACATTGAGTTGGCAATTTCGGAGAGCTTTTCTGTGAGACATAAAGGCTGATGATGCCGTAAAACCAAGTAAAACTTAACGAAACGGGTGTGTAGTGCATTTGAGTTTGGACTTAAGCAATAAATAAAAATTTTGTGTTTCGGGGTTCCTATGCGAAGTAGGAGAGATCTTTTTTCCCTCACAAGTTCGTAACTTCAAATGCCAAAAAGAAGATGTACTGGGCTAGCCTCGTAGATTACGGTGTTCGGCTTTGTTTTTTCACAGCATCGCAAAGCTTGCAGAATCTTATGGAATATTGAAAACAAAAATCGTAAATAATGTTTTTTTACTCTTTTCTCTTTTTCAATTTACACATAATTTCTTGCCGTTGGACGCCGATTCGAGACGCCAAGTGAAGCCACCAGGCCACGCTTTGAGGTCTTCCTCTTCCTCTGTTTCCGTGGTGTGGAGTCCAGGGCCAGTGTGATTTTTTTTACATTTGTTCGACCTGTTTTGAAAAGCTTGCACCGTTTGAAAATATGATTAGTACTCAATACTCAAGGATGCTCTCACCGTGGCATATGGTCAATATTAACTGTCTTAACAAATTAAAGCTTTTAATGCTAAGAATATTATCTTTCCTTGCTTTCTTCCGAAAATATGATCTGTCAATTTTTTTTTTGCAAATCCAAAATAAAGCCAATTTTCATTTTTATCCTTACGAAGAACGAATTCATCTTTAGCTCACGGAATACTTCAGTTCTCTTACCAGGATATTTCATTGGATTAAAATATATGTGGATCATCATAACGAGGCGAAAATGTTTTCAAAGGAAAAAGAGTATTTTAGTGGAAGCTCCCAGGCCAATTCGGCTGCCGATCCAAATATCGATGATTTGGCATTAAAACAATTGAGTGATATCGATTCATAATATTTTATTTCATTTTTCAATTAATTTTCTTTATATTATTAATTTTTTATCTTTTGCTTATGATAATTTTTTCTTCACTTTTCCTTATCAACTTTATATTAATTTTCACTTTTAGTTCATAACAGTATTTATTTCCTTACTTATAACTATTTGGTTGCATGTGGCTTTCAAGGACAATAATATACAAACTACATACAATTGAAAAGTTTTATGTTCTTTTTAGATTTGTTGTTTTTGTTTTTTGTGATTTTCTTTTACCACGAATTTAATGCAATTACAGTTGAACGAACGATTTTTAGTTTACTTTAACTTTATCAGCTTGAATGAAACATAATAAGCGATCAATTACTATATTCTAAAAAAAAATACATGTACAAATATACTAATTGCTAATATTCGAATGTATTGGAGTTTGTATGTGCGTGTTAATATGTACATATGTATTTATGTGTATGTACGTGTATGCATATAGGAGTGTATAGGTAAATTTCCTGAGGAAAATCCTTTGGTATTTACAAATTACATACCCGTGTATGTACATATATACTCGTACATATATGTATGTGAATGAATTGAGAAATATTGTTATCTAAATTTCAAATTTCAGAAATACTTCTACTATGTACATATGTATGTATTTAAGCATGAGTCTCAGAACTTTTAATATCAAAGAATATCTCCAAAATGTGCGTTATTCGGAATGTTTAATTTTCGTTCCGCCTATAAAAGTGAGAAAATTATATATTAAATATCTAATTTTCCAGCTTCCAATGGAAATATGAATGTACGTTACTAGACCGCCATTACGTCTTCAGGGATATTTGATTTAGTTAAAAATTTCAATTCTGTTTTGGTCTCATATGAGAGGGACTAATTTCGTCTTGCGGTCAAAAATGCTTACTCCACATTTCCGCGAAAAGGAGTTAGAAATGCGCCTCAAACGTTTTATGCGTCTGGCCAATTCTATTAAGGCTTCATCTGCTAGTGGATCGTCAAATCATAATTTCGTCATAAACATTTTCAAGAAAATTATGTATGTATTTTTTAAAAGACGGAGGAAATCTTTTAAGAATCAGTGCATATGGACACAGTAGTATAACGTTAACCCCATTAATATGACCAGGTTATCCCGCACGATATAAATATTTACTATAATTTGCCATAGGGCAGACCCGCTGCAGGAATCAGGCTTCCACAAAAAACACCGGAAAAGACCGGAATTTCGAATTTTTTGGATTCCAGGGCTTATGGGTATTCAAGTTCGGAGGGTCTACTTTTGAAATAATTATGGACTATTCGAATAAGTAATGTATACATATATGAGAAAGTTTAATACGTATATATCTACATATATGATGTATGAAAAGATTTCAGATTACAGTCCGCTGGTAACCTGCTGGTCTTTATTCATTTACTGAGTCTGGTTGAGAATAAGCTATGCGCGAAATGTGCGTAGATTGTAGAGTAATCTGTGAGGGCCGGACGTTCGGCAGACAGATGGTCCAAGACGTATGATTCAATTTTCTGAGAGAGCAGCAGTGTACTGGGAACTAGTCAGACAAAAGGAAGTTGGCAGTACTGAATTTTGCTAACATTACGGTTTCGTGGTGTCTTCTATGTGAGACTTCCTGTCGAATACTTTCTGACACAGTTGCACTCGCTCACTCTCGTGTTGAAAGAATTGGCAGGATCTACTTCATGGGATGTACCTATGGTTTGTGTTTTGTGTTTAAGCAAATGCTTTATGTACAAATGTTAATGTGTCTCTTTATGCTGCTGTGTGAATTTTCGGTTTTTTCGCAGTTTTCTGGACTCGCATACATTTAATTAAACATATTTAGGTAATATTATGTATTCGTTCACTTCATTGATATGTTTCTAAGAGGCTAAAGAACGCAAGCTTTCAATGGCTTTTTCATACTGTACAATTAATATATGTTTGTATATAAATTTTGTCTTTTTTATATTTCTTTAATAGTATTTCCGTATTTACGTCTTTCATGTATGTATTGTAGTTAGGTGTGTTTGTAGGTTTATTGCATTTAATAAATTTATTACATAAAAGCTTAACGAATACGAGTGTGTGTGAGTGTGTGCGTGTGTTATTTATAGTTAATTGTTCGCTTAGTTAATTTTAAAAACTTTAACAACTTTTTATAAATTTCAAGTGTATCATTTTGTGTTTCAAGATGTTTTTCCTCATAATCTAATATTTGTATTTTTTATTTTTCAATTTTATTTTTATTTTTATTTTTTTTTATTTTTTTTTATTGATTTTTAATTTTTTTAATCTTTATGTTTTTTGTTTTTTGTTGGACAATATTTTAGTAATAAATGCGTTTAATTTGTATTCAATTTTGTCGATTTCCGTGCATTAGTCTGTCTGTCTGTCTGTCTGTATGTCTCACTGTATTAGTTTGTTATGTACTTTGTTGTTTTCATTTCACTTTCAATTTTATTATTTGCTTTTTTGCTTACTCTACAGTTGCAATAGTTTGAAAGCAAAAAAAAAAAAAAAAAAAAAAAAAAAATATTAATAATAATTTACAATGCGGCTGTTGTTGTTGTATGTTAGTAAGTGTTTATTTTTTTTTTTTTTTTAGAATCCATACGTATAATTTTTGTAAATTTTGCCTATGTATGTATATTTATATATTCATTTATATGTATGTATGCATGTAAATAAGCTTACAAATTTTGGTAAATATTTTTTTCTCAATAAATATTTAAATATTTGGTTTAATCGTTACGATTATTTATTTAATTTTTCAATTCTTTTGCTTATGCTGATTTTATTTTAACTTTAGCTTTGTACATACAATGTATCTATGTGGCTGTGTAAATATGAAAGGTGCCAGCGTTTATTCTATTTACAGCAATATATAAGTGGTAGGTATGTAAGCTTTTTTTTAGTATATTTGTCACAATTTCAAGGTACTGCTTATGTGTGTGTGTTTTTTTTTTTTGAAAAAAATGTATAATATATGTTAAAAATATTTGGATGGTAATATATGGGAGTATTTAAGGGTATCAAAAAAAAGTTGCACTAAATACATTGGTTTTTGATAAATTTAAATAATAAAAAACATAAAATGTATAAAACAATAAAACAATAAAATAAAAAACAAATTACATTTTAAAGAAATTTAAACAATTAAAAATTATAGAATAAAATAGAGAAATAAATATTTCTTAACCTCAGCTTTACATACCATTTTTACTTTCAGTCTGTTAAAATTCAACCTTTCGGACCGAGTTACATTCAAAAGGCTAAAGACCCAAGTAAGAACGAACCAAATTATTCATAGAAACTAGAGATCAGTGTAAAAGCCATGAACTATCTGGAGAAGGCGAAAGGCATTGTTACGTCAGTTTTATGAGATGAAACACTTTTCCAAAAAAGTGAGTGAGAGAGAGAATTTAAAGAGCGATATCGACAGCAACATTTAGCTGTTCTTTTCAATATTTAGCTGAAAAAAACTTAAAGATTTTTTGGGGTATTTTTAACAAATTCTCCAGAAAAATTCTCTGCTCAATTTATGCTCAACGAACGGCCACAAGCGAACTTTGTATCACTTCTTAACACAACAAAATAGATTTCTTGCCCTGTTAATGTTGGTATGAAGAAAAGGGAAGGAAAGAGAGAAAAGCTTTTCGTCATTAAAACTTATAATTTCTATATTCGCAATTACGATTAAACATTTGCAAAACATTAGAAAGTTGGAAGGGAAAT